ACGATTGAGAGGCATTGCTGTCACAAGAATGAAAGGGGGACAACTCATATCGAGTTGTACTTATAAAATGCAGGTTGTTTGTGTGTGTGTGTTCCTTTATATATGGGATCGGATTTCCTACATTCTTCAATCGATTTCAACAAAACTTCACTTGTTTTTGGCAGATAGTGTTTCTTATTGTCTTGCACACTTTTTTCTTTATTTTTACATTCAGAATGCTTTAAAAATTCCATTTACAAGACAATTGTTTATAATAAAATTCTATTCAATCAGTAGACTCATAACGATTGAAAACAATGTTTTTGTTTGAGTTTGACCAATTCGTAAAAAAAAAAAAAAAAAAAAAAAATAATTAAGACATGCATGTCCGTCAACCTTAAACAATAATCTTTGTCAATTTTTTTTTTTCAGTCTTTATGATGGTTGATACTTGATCTATCTCTTACTGTTACATCCCCGGGCAACACCGGGCTCTACAAGTAATATATATATATATATATATATATATATATATATATATATATATGGGATAGTATTATAGAAATGTTTATATATCAAGAACACTTTTGAAACAAAAGATGTATGATAAATTGTGAAAAAGTTTTTATGACACATTTCAGCTGTTCAGACTTCATTGGTCTGGGTTTGTTTACATTATTGTGACAACACGTGCGCAAACAAGAGACACTGGGAGTTTTAAATTTAGAAAGAAAAATTTTTTTTTTTTTTAAATTTGCATGCAGGTTCTTACAATGTTTCACAATTCTTGACAGAACTTTTATTATCACAATGATGGATATTTAATAACAAAGATGATGGAAACAAAAAGAATCTAGACGAAATTGGCGAGATTGTATGTAAAACAGCAACAAAAAAATTCTTTCTAAATTTAAAACTCTCAGCATCTCTTGTGTTGTGCACATATGTAGACACAACAATATAAATAAACCTAGTCCGATGAAGTCCTAACAAATGAAACGTGCCACAAAATTTATATATATATATATATATATATATATATATATATAGACACAATAATATAAATAAACCTAGTCCGATGAAGTCCTAACAAATGAAACGTGCCACAAAAATTTATATATATATTTGTTGTTTCATTTGTTAGGACTTCATCGGACTAGGTTTATTATATATTGTTGTGTCTACATATGCACAACACAAGAGATGAAGAGATGAGCATTTGATGAGCTAACCAAATAAGTCACTTGAACCTTTTTATTGAATACTAGCAGGCTTTGCCTAGTAAGATATATTCATATATATATATATATATATATATATATATATATATATATATATATATATATATATACACACACACACACATTAATATCTATACTCAGGTGGTGAGCAAAAAACAGATAATGAAATTTGTAAATAAAAAATATTAAACAAACTGATATCAGGGAAAAAATTCAATAAAAAAAGAAAAAAGAAGAAGAAAAGACCAGAAAGATCTGTGCTGCTTGAAAATAATCAAGCAGCATTGAAATGTCAAGCCAAAAGAAAAAACACCAACAGAGTCACCTAAGTTAAAACGTAAAAGTGCTCAATACACTAACTAGAGCAAAAACTAAAAACTAATTAATATTTTTGTGTGTGAGTGTGTATGTATATATATATTTATATATAATATTAGTGGTAAATATTCACATACATATGCAATCATATACCTAAAATATATAAATATATATACATACATACATATATATATATTTGTATAAAAAATAATTCCAAGGGGATAGAATCCAGGTAGAACTCAATGTCCAGGACAGAGTAAGGATATAAAGACTAATATTCCATGGTCATAATTTATTCCATTGGAATCGTAAATACGATCCAATTCATCAGACCTACAAATTCAAAAGGAAAACAGAAAAAACAACTCCAGGAATCCTGTTCTTCTCTTGTCTGTTACCCCTCTCTATAGCTTTCATTTACTCTAACATTTGTCCCACATTCTTATACATACACTCTCACTAAATTTTATTTTTTATTTCCGGAGTTGTTTTTCTGTTTTCTTTTTGAATTTGTAGGTCTGATGAATTGGATTTTGTTTATGATTCCAATAGAATAAATTATGACCATGGAATATTAGTGTTCAAGCCGTTTTATTATATATATATATATATATATATATATATATATATATATATATATATATAAACAATTATAACAAAAACATGTTATAAACTGCTACATGAATACAATCATGTTTCAGCACTGTATGTGTTTCTTTAGGCAGTTATTGACTACCACTGCCTGAAGAAGCATGTACTGTGCTGAAACATGATTGCATTCATGTAGCAGTTTATAACATGTTTTTGTTATAATTGTTAATAAATACTATTACTATTAAGCTCTACTCTGTATTGAGCACTTTCTTAAAGATATAATGTTTGGACATTGGTATTAACCTACCTTACACATGGATATATATCTCAACTATATTAGCTTGCCTTTAACATTCATAATTTTCCATAGCCATATTTAAATGCAATATGCTTCCATTCATTCTCACTTTGAAAAGCTTTTGGTGTTCAACCTCTATTAGTTATAATACCATTGCTATGTAAACTACAATATCTGGATAATCATTTTTTTTTTTAAGTGTATCTCATTGATCATGAAATAAAATATTTTAGTTTATTGTTAATTTTTTATGAGTATTTCTTTCATCAAATTTCTGTTTCTTTTTATTGCAACTTCCAAATCAAAATTCTACAATAGTTAAGTGAGCAAAGTGGACCAGAAACAAAGAATGAACTGTTAGTGATCGAAAGAATCCTGAGGAGAAGGGATAGGAGTTCTAATTCTAATAGAAGCTTTATTTTTCATTCTTGATCTATTTTGTGACCAAAGAATAATGATCAGAATGTTGCAGTTAAAATTCAACACAAATAGCATTAATAAGCAAAAAAAAAAGTCAAAAATTAATAATAATGACAATGCTTCATCTAAGAAATTCACACAACACTACTACTAGGTTTCATAAAGCAAAAGAAATAAGATGAAAGAAAGACTAGTCAAAAGTTAATGACAAGGATTCATCTAAGAAATTCACACAACACTACTACTACTAAGCATAAAGAAGCAAGAGAAATAAGATGAAGGAATGACAAGACAAATTAATAATAATGACAATACTTCACCTCAGAAATTTACACAATACTACTACTACTACTACTAGGGGAGGAACAGTGGAGCAATGGATAGCGGTTGGGATTGAGGAATTAGAAAGCTGAGTTTGAATTCCAGTCAAATCCATTACATTCACTTATGTGCTAATACCCTTGGGAAAGGTATGAATCCTCTTCTTGTCCCCCCAGCTATGGGTAAATAGCTGGACAGACTGGGCTCTATAGCTTTGGATAGCAACTGGTCTACTGCAGAAAGTAATGGCAACCTACCGTGGGGAAAAAAATCTGCCTCATCAGTCATGTATCGAAAGATACATGATCGCCTAAGCATGTATCACATATGGCACATAACTGACTGGCTACTACAAAGTGTAAAGAAGCAAGAGAAATAAGATGAAAAAAAATAGCCAAAAATTAATAATAATGATAATGCTTCATATAAGAAATTCACACAACTTACTACTACTACTAGGTGTAAAGAAGCAAGAGAAATATGATGAAAGAAAGATTGGTCAGAAATTAATATTAATAATGCTAATGATATCCCATTAATATTAATAATGCTAATGATATCCTAATACAGCTAAAATAAATCCAATGGATTTGTAGCCATATCATCATTACCATCAACAGAAGTGGTTTTCAACAGCACCACCACTCTTCACAATCTCCTCAATACATTTAGACCTTCATGAGACTATTATGAAAGACTTGCATATACAACATCCCATACAAAATATAAAAAAAAAAAATGGAAGAGAGAAAGCATGGCACCTCACCATGTGAGTAATCTAGTCTAGTTTATTATTATTTTTTTTAAACAAGTTCACCACAAACAAGACAATAAAGCCACTAAGACACAGGGGGTTACTGCTTGTGGAAGAATTAGAAAACAGAAACACCACAAAGGAACAAGTACAGAGGAAAAGTAATCAGGAAAGGAGATAGTGATTGACATTGGTTTTGTTTCTTGCTGATTGCTCCTTAGGTCAAAAGTCAATTTCATTTTTTCGTTGACAATTTAGTCATCGTAATGGTTGTAATTTTATTCTATCATTCTTGTCATACCATTTCCATTCCTATTTATAACTAGTATCATATACAAATTAGATTGACAAGTATAAATAGAGAACAACTGGCGAACATAGGGTAGGGGGCTATGCCTAGCAAACCCATTTGCTATTCAGGACCCAGAGAACTCGACTACTACTACGCAGAGAGAAATGCAAAACTTAACAATAACATCACACATTTTAGTTAAATACCTCACAATAGTAATGCATTAGTCATACTTAAAAAAAAAATATCAGCATTTTAATACAAACTATTTTTATTGTCTCAATCACTTTTGAGGAGTGCCTTTGTCATTAAGCCTTTGAGCCCTGACCACCGCTTTACCGGTGGTAGAGAAAAATGACTAAATGTCCAGCCACCAATTGAACGGTGGGTAAACACTTGTGACTATTTTTATATCTACCATGAAACATTACATAAGAATTATTTACAAATTTTGATGCAGGAGCTGAAAGGGTTAAGAAGAAAACCTATAAGAATACAATTATGAAAGAATTTTGAAAACATCTGAGCTTTGAATAATTTCAATAACATTAAGTATGGCTTTGTTGTTTGTGAAACAGTTATAAGCAAGAGTGGCAGCCACAATGTCATCTGTTTGTTCTTTTTCATTTTTATAAGACCTTTAAAAAATTCTCACAAAGACAAAAGTTGATATTCACATTGCAAGGGAAAAGAGTTTTGGCAAAAAATTATTGAAGCTTTTATAATATATTTGTAACTAAGACAATGAGATCAAAATTTAAAAAGCAGGAAGATTAAACTCACCTTGAAGCTGTTTTGATCTTTAATCAATGGATGGTGTTCAAAACTGTGAGGGGGAAAAAATACTCTTGTTATGGTAAACAGGAAAAATATAGATGAGGAAATCAAAAAAAAAAAAAAATGTTATTATCAAGAAAAAAAAGATGAATTTCACATTTATTCTTACAGTGGAATGTTGGTTCATGAATTTAATTTCTTCCTGAAGGCCATTTGTAAGTTGAAATGTTCATAAACCGAAACTATTTTTCCAATAGGAATCAATGTCGAGAAAAAGTCAGGGTAGAATAAAATTGGAAAAGAAAAACACACCACAACACACAAATGTATACAACATGGTGGTAACCTCAGAAATTATTCCATTTGGCAATGTTGTTCGAGAACCGAAATTTTGTTTGATAACTGAGGCATTTTCATCTTGAATTTTCTGTTCGAAAACCAATTTGTTCAACATGTGATATGTTCGAGAACTGAGGTTGCACTGTATTTTGTTTTACAGTATATCAACCCCACAAAGGCTTATTTAATGCAGACAAGCATTTTTTTTAGGATAGGTTCATATGAATAGAATATTTATTAATATTTTTTTTTTCAAAAATGTATTGTTGGTAGTTTTGCTATAAAAACAGATTGCTACACTTTCATAGAGTTTTTACCCCAGTTTGGAGGTTAACTATTTTACCCATAGCTGGGATCCTAACAGGTACTACCATCCTGGGTCAGGGTGGACCTGGAAACAACAGCAATTAACAGGTGGTTCCATGCCTTCAAAACCTCCTGATCAGAGGGTTTGTTGCCAGATGTAGTTTATTGTCATACCCAGGAAGAGGCATGGTGTTAGTACATCCTCCCACACTAGATTAATCTGACAGAGGTCATGGCAAATGACATCCTTCCAGTAGTTGTGTGGTCTGTCATGAGGTCATTGTCAGTTTGCACATGACAGGTCAAACTGATAGTTGACTCAACTCTACAATATCAAAACCTGTATGATTCATATTATCTATAACATTGGTTTTGCAAATAATGTTTACAATTAAAATTATTCCAACCAAGTGTGTCTGTGATGGAGAGAGAGATAGAAATTTTGGCTAAATTTTTCAAAAACACTTGTTTTTATACATCTGTTCAGAGAGAGAGAGAGAGAGAGAGAGAGAGACAAGCTTATGGCTATAACATGTTAAAACACAGGTTTCTTGTCCGATCACCAAAGTTAAAAAATGTTGAGTCTGGTCAGTACCTAAATGAGTGAATGCTTGGGAATATCAGGTGCTAGAAGCTTGATGTGTGGGTGGTGTAATGGATAATGGCTTGGAATTGGAAATCAGAGAGCCAAGTTCCAATTCCAGTTGGGATCATTATTTTCATTTATGTTTAAATACCATTAGTAAAGTTATTAATCCAACTCCCCCCCGCTATAGATTAATTAGTAGGACTCCTATTAGTAAATAATTATTATTCTTACAATCTAAAAATATTTTCTGGTTTTAAACTTATGGCCAGATAATCTTGAAACACTGGTGATTGTACAATCATCAAAGTTAAATAACATTGATCCTTGTCAGTACATAGATGGGAGATACCAAGTGCAAGAAGCTTAGATGGATAATGGCTCAGAATGAGAAATCAGAGAGCAGTGTCCAAATTCTGGTTGAGTTTGTGACATTCACTTTTGAGCAAATACCATTGAGAAACATTAAACTATCTCTTTTCTCTACAGACATTGGTTTAAATAACAAAACAGACTGAGTGCTGTAGCCTTGATAAGTAATGAGTCTAATGTCAGTAATGGTTGCTGACTGAGAATTCTGCCAGGTTAATCATGAATTGAAACAAGGCATCATTGTCCAAATGGAATTAGGACAGGTTGATTTTTCACTAAAAAAAAAAAAAAATCCATATTGCACTCAGTGGGAAAGTTGGGGGTTTGATGTACTAAGTACTGACACCAAAAATTAGATTCATACCTTTCACCAATTTTTGTGCATTTAACTTTAAAGATCACCTGAAAAAAGTACAGAAATACCAAATTTCGACAGGTTTTTGCTTACAAAATGACTTCAAAATTTTACTATTTCAAGAATATATCCAAATAAAATTGATATATTTTGTATCAGATACATTGAATTGAAAATGTATCCAAACCAAAATTTTAACTATGAATCACCACAAGGAAAATATGCAACTTTTTTAGCGTATTTGATCAGTAAAAACTGTGTAAAAAAAATTGTAAGTGATTACAAAAAAGGCTACTCAATGAATAAGATTTGTTAGATCATAATTAATAAAAACAAAAAGTAAAATGTATATAACACCATAATACTGCTGATCACAAATTATAAGACCAAATGTTTTAAATTTGCGTTGTTTATTAAAAATCACACTAAAACAACAGCACTGTATAACATATTACATCATAATATAGCTTAATTGTTCAATATAATTTCCCTTGGAAGTAAATGAAGGTTTGATTTGATGACACAATGATTTAGGAATAATGTGTTTATGTTATGTATCTTGTCCATATACAATTTGTAAAGCTTCAGTAAATTATAAATTTTGTGCTATAAGGCTTTCACTGATCACCAGAATAAAATTTCAACACTATGATTTTGAACTTAATTGTTGTTGGTTGATTTTGTTTAGCAACATATCAACCTCTATAGGTTATTTAATGATGAAATATAAATATTTTTTAATTTTATACTTTCAGGGTAATGTTTTTTTTTTAGATATATAGTTTGTACATGATAAAATGTATTGTTTGTAATTTTACTATAATAATGTATTTTTATATTTTTTTTAGTGTTGCATTGACTGTTATTTTGCTATAAAAATGTATTGTTGCTCATTTTATTATAAAAATGCACTGTTGACTTTTGTTTAGGGGGTGACTATTTGCTCATAGATGGGACCCTAACAAGTGCTACACCCCAGATCAGGATGAACCTGGAAATTATAGTAAGAAAGAGGTGGTGCCATGTTCCTTAAAACCTCCAACCAAATGATTAGACACCTTGCTGCTGGATGTAGTTTACCATCATACCAAAGACAAGTTTTGAACCTAAACAGTCTTTAAACTTGTTTCCTCAACATGCAATAATGATTTGAAAAAAAAAAAAAAAAAAAAAAAGAAGATATTTTGTGTCATTATTTATCATGTAAAACCCCAACTTTCAAATTGAGTGCAATACCAGTTTCAAAATCGACCCGCTGTATTCATGCATGGCACTTAAGGAAGTAAGGAGAGAAAGAGAAAGAAGGTGATTCTTACCTTTTTTTTTTGGCTGCAATTTGTATCAGGTCAAAATCTAAACACTTTAATACAATAATGATTTGCAAAAACCTGCAGAGAAAAAAAGAAAAATAATTTATTTTGATAGACTCTTGGGAAAACGAAAACAAAATTAAGGAACTCATTTCACAACTGAAAAGCTGAACATTAAAAGAATTCATGCAACATGAACCTCTTAAGCACTGTTCTATTCAGGACATTAGTAATCATGGCTCTCCACAACTTCCTATCTTTTGTAGCTCTTTGTCTTTTCATCTTCCCTCCCCAACCTTGCTGCTTCTCTCTGACCTTTGCCTTCATCATGTCCATAGAATGTCAAATTCTCCATGAGGTCCAGTTTACACCCATGTCAAAAGGTAGGCATAGGTTCAGTTTACACTTGAGTCGAAAGGTAGACATAGGTCCAAGTTATACCTGAGTAAAATTCAATGTACAGTGATTTTATGTGTGTAACTCCAGCACAGTGGTATTGAAATACACTGCAACTGGTCAATCAAAGTGACATAAGCTATGCCCCAAGTTAGCAAACAATTTTCAGCAAGCCAATTGGCACCTGAAGGTGAGCCAAGAAAGACACATAGTGGTGTACCCCACTTGACCCAATGATCAATGGGTGAGGCGACTGAGAGTGAAAGAAAAAGAGAAAACATTAGTGATAATTTCAATGTCACGTTTTCTATCCGCTGTTAAAACACTTCCCAAACACAGTAATGCCTTGAGATACAAGCGTATTGACATATGAGTTTTTGAGATATGAGATGGAGTTTGGCCAATTTTTTGCCTTGAGATACAAGCAAGTTTCAGTAAAGTATCCGCCAGTTGGCACAGCAAGCTTTGAGAATGTTTCCACTTGCAGTACACATGTTCACCTTGCTCTGGAAGGATCTCTATTGTGTTGCATTGTGTCTTTTTTGCTGTTATTCCTTTAGTGACACAATGGGTCTGAAGAAAATAAGTGTAAAGAGCAGTGGGGAAAAGCTAAAACACATGATTTCATTTGAGGTAAAGCAGGAAATTATAAATAAAAACATGAGAAAGATGTACAAGTCATAGATTTGGCAAGACATTGAGCATTCTACATTGACAATAAATAAAAAAAAAAATTAAAAAAATTAGTTACAATAATGGATAAATTGTAAATGTTTTAAAAAATGTTTAAATTAAGTTGTAAAGTTAATTTTTGATATCAAAGGCTAGGCTAGTAGACATTGTCACCTTTTCTCTCTCCTCCACCAGTTGGCCTATGACTCGTCTGAATTTCATAGTTTAGTACAATTTATTTCTTACCAATTTGTTTTTTCTCTTATTTTATTGTTTGTAAATTACATTTCTTGTTTATTTACATGTTTTTGCCTGTAAGAAACCCACAAATACAAAAAATAGGGATGAGTTTTAGGAAAATAAGGGTCATTTTTACAGGCCTGGAACAGATTGGAAATGTTCCTATTACAGTATATACTTGTGTATCATGTGAATTTTGAAGACCTAATTTTGAATCTAATTTTAAAAGGGTCACATCATATATGTGATATAAAATTAGCATATGTGCTGTTGGTCTTGGTTATGCCCTTGACCAAACTATATATCAATTTACTGTAGTCAAATTAGCTTCAAAATTAGGTTTTCAGAGGTCACAGGATATGTGAATATATATGGTAATTTCAATGGGAAAAATTGATTTGAGGTATAAGTATTTTGAATTATAAGCTCAGTCTTGGAACAAATTAAACTCATATCTCAAGGCTTTACTATATTTAAATTTTCATAGATGCTTCAATTGTTCATATTAAATGGCTGGATACTTTTTGGACAGACCATGTAGAAAAACCTTTCTTGCATTAATTAGGACTTTCTCAATTTTCTTGCATTAATTAGGACTTACTCAATTTTCTTCAAGTATTTCTCTGATGACTCATCAAGTAAATGTTGAAATTTCTGCCAACGACCAAATCCTTGATTCTAAAATTAACAAAGGAGTGAAAACGAATTAACAGAGTCACATAAATTTATAATTAGCAATGAAAAACAAAACAAGGCAATTCATTTCCAATCAATATGATTGATGGGCCGCACATCAAAGACAACAACCGATAAATCATTAATGTAAAAATCATTTCACAGTTCACCTTAATACAGGTAGTAAATTGAAAAAAGAAAAATGGAAACATGGCAGCAATAATGAAGACCATATCTTGCCAGAGAGTTATGAGAAAAATCAAGAACAGTAAGTTATAATACAATAAGAACAAAAGTATTTCATCTAAAAATTTAAAAATAATTTCTCAGGTTTCTCTTCTTTTGAGCATGCAAAGTAATTATAGTTATCATTTGAATAAACAAATTTATTATCATAATGTAAATGGTTTATTTAAATTGGAAGTATATTAACATGCTTGAGTAGATGAGGAACTTGAATATCATGTTGGAAATTACTTCAACAAGGTGTAAAAATAAAGCAATCGACCTAACATCCAGGTGAGCAAATTTCATTTTCACTTTGTTACAAAAAATTCTGTCTTTTTGTCTTATCCTTTCTTTTTCCTATCCCACATGGCGATGGAGGTGAGGAGCAGTTTATCATTTCAGAAAGCCAAATTTTATGAATTGGACTTTTTTTTCCAAAAATGCTATTTAATAATTTCACTAAAGTGACCAAATGATAATGTAGCTTTTCGTCTCTAGAAGACGACTTTGTGGTGCGACTTTTCTGTAGGTTATGCCACTTTCACTTCTTATTAGGATTGTACCATTCTTTGCCAGGGTTGTCCCAGAAACTCATCAAGTTAGATTAAGGGCTGAAGTATGAGGTATGAAACCCTATCAAGCTGGAGCAACTTCTTATCCAAAAGGTGGATATTCCAGCTAATAAAACATTTCATTTTCCTTTTATTTTCTTGTTTTAGAAACATTTATATACTGTTACACTTTCTTACTAAGTATTATAATAAAGCAAAAACAGAAATCTATACTGAAAACAGAAAAAAAAAAAAAAAAAAAACTCAATTTGGTAAAATCTGAAATGAAATTAAGGAAAATTTGAAACAGAAAATTTGTCCTTCTGCGCGCACACACACCAGATCTAACAGCAAAACTGCCCAAATCGTGTAACAGCAAAATTGTCCATTTGTTAGATTAAGCTCTGGACTGTTGTATCTTAGAAATGATTAAAGATGTCTTACTGGCACTCTCCACGGTTTTTATAACAATATTGGACTCTACTTTGAGCAATAAGAATGTATAATTATTCTCTTAGCTTAACAGATGTATTGTGATCAAATTGATCATCAACGAAAATGACATGTTCATCATTAATTAATCATAGCTAAGGATTGGAAGCACATGAAGGATTGAAGTTAAGTTCAAACATATATAATTCAAGGATCATTTTCCAACTTAAGATGATCTTCATCTGCTCTAACCTTCTAACTTTCTGTTCTGGAAGAACAAGGTGCCTCACAGGTTTCACATACGATTTCATTTTCAATTTTTTTTTTTTTCACTGTTCTTTGGACTGTCATAGCTGAAACTCCTCTTTCTCATGTCAAACATCTTATGAATTGAGTTGGATCTTTTCTAATTGATCACTTTAGCTCTAAGTTAAAATGATGAACCCTCTTCCTGATGTGACCTCCTGATCCAGTTTTCCTCTCTACTATTGCTTTTTTTAAAAAACTTATTTACCATTCACTTGATGGTTCCTGAAGGGACTTTGAAGATGGAAGCCAGAGTATGAATGTTGGTACCATTACTGAAGGCCTGAATGATCTTTTTCCTCTCACCATTGCTCATTTAGGAAGACATAGTGAGTCTGACATGAAACAATTTTAACCTGCTCTCTTTTTAGCTGAATAACCCAAAGGGTTTTTCAGTGATCTTTACAAGAAATGGTGTCAAGATAGCTAAATGTCTTATCTGAAAACCTAGAAAAAGTAAACTGAATTAGGTTAGTGTTTTTTTTTTAGATATTAAACATTTTGTGTGATGAATAATTATGCTATTACACAATTTGGACAATTTTGCAATGAAACCCAGTGTGTATGTATGTATGTATATATATATATATATATATATATATATATATATATATAGATAGATAGATAGATATAAAAGTGAACATAGAAGTCAACACTAAGACGCAACAGGCTGTTTCATGCTAGACACAATCGTCAGACTGCGAGTGTTGGATTTTTTCTCAATTTTTTTATATATATATATATATATATATATATATATATATATATATATATATGTATATGGGTCAGTAGTGCATTGTGGGTAATCCATTCTGGTGTTTTTTCTTAGTGGGAGTGGCTTGTTTATTCATTTATTTATTTGGATTAAATTAATTTACATGTTTTTTATTTTCATTTTTTATTCTATATATTTATTTATTCTTTTCGGTTTTCTATGTTTTATTAATGTAGTAAAAAAAAACTGGGAGGGATTTGTTTAGGTCACTTATTTAATAGTTTGTTTTGGACTGGGAAGATTAAGCTATTTATTCGTCCAATTTTTGGATTGATTGCAGTAGTCTATTCTGCTATTTTAGCAGCGGACAGTTTTTAATTTCTTTATTATTTTCTTTATTTATTTGGATTGAATTTTTTACTTGTTTTTGCTTATTTTTATTAGTTCTATAAGTTATTTTAGCGGTAGCGATTTGATCATTTATTTGGATTCATTTTTACTTGTTTTTCTTATTTGTTTGCTTATTTTTTATTTTGTATATTTTTATCTACTCTATTCGGTTTTCAATTTTTGAGTAAAAGAATTTTTTTTTATCGTTGTATAGCAGTTACAGCTATTTTCTCGTCCAATTTTTGTATTGATTGTTGTAGTCTATTCTAACAGTTATTTTTGCAGGGTTGGTTTCTTGATTTATTTATTGTTTATTTATTTATTGGGATTGGTTATTTTTATTTTATGTATTTATTTTCTATTTCAATTTTTTCTTTTTCATCTATTCTAATGGGAGTGGTTTGTTAATTTGTTTATTATTTGCTTGGGTTAATTTATTTAACTTGTTAATTATTTTGATTATTTTTATTCTTTTCAGTTTTTGATTTTTAAGTAACATAGTAAAAATTTGTTTTTGTGTCTGCATTTTGAAATGAGCTCAGATCATTTATTTAGTAATTTATTTTGGTCTGGGAAGGTAATAATAGCTATTTTTTCCTCCAACCAAAGTTTGCAGGTTTTGGATTAATTGTTCTAGGCTGATGATCTTTTCCTTATTTTCCATGTTATTTTTGGTGTGATTTGCATTTTGTTTTTAATTTCCCAGATATACTTAGAAAGCATTGTGCTGTTTGCGTATTTATTATTTGTGAAAGATGTTTTGCGTGCGTAGTTTCTTTGCTTCCAGGGTCCTTCAGTTAGTCCTATGTATCCTTTTCCTTCATTATCTATATTTTATATCTATATTCACATACACTCTATGATATTGAGCACTTTATCCAATAAATATAGCACACCTTAAAACTTTCTTCATATATATATATATATATATATATATATATATATAGGAGGAGAACATCTTCCTCTTTACATTTCCAGGCGATAACTCATTTCATAAAATCTGTACAATCTTTTTTGTTTTGAAAGGCATCCTTAGTCTGACCCAGAACTTTACAGCACTTACTGTGTGCATGCATATATATATATATATATATATATATATATATATATATATAAATAAAAAGGGTATTCTAATAACTTGGAACAATTTTAAATGTCTAATGATTTTTTTCTTTTTCTTTCAGATTTAACAACTTAAGTCTTTGGTAATTTCAGCCATGGAAAGATTAACAATCAAACAATGTGTTAAAGTTATTGAAGCCTATTACGAAAATAGACGTTCAAACAGAAATGGATTTTGCGCACTTCATGATTTTTGGGGTCAACATAATCGACCAACCAAGAGTGCAATTGGAAACAATGTAACGTTGTAGAGAGGTTCAATTCCTGCCTGTGAGGATGAATAGAGGTGCCTGGATTTTTGGACACATTTTCATGTGCTGCAGCAATGTTTTCAGCTGAATGGTGTATAAGAGCATGCAGTGGTGTTTCCACATCTACCCCCCCCCACCTAATTTGTTCGAATTAATGAACAATTTTTCAAATTGCACTCTTGAAACTTAGACACATTGTTTGATTGTTAATCTTTCCATGGTTGAAATTGCCAAAGACTTAAGTTGTTAAATCTGAAAGAAAAACTTATTGGATGCTTAAACTTAATTCACATTTAAAATTGGTTCAAGTTATTAGAATACCCATTTTATATATATATATATATATATATATATATATGAGAGAGAGAGAGTCAAAGTTAAATCTTCACGTTTACCAAAACGATAGAAAGAACCATTTTTAATCATCTGGCAAATTAACTGTAGTTACAATTTAAATCTTACATGTATTTGAAGCTGACAACTTGAGAAATTTAAGATAAGTTTTCTTTGACCATGTGAAGTTCTGGAATTAAAGATAACGACAAAAGGAAAGGCTTGTTAATTTTCTGAGGAAAAAAGCAACCATTTAAGTATATTTATTACTTTGATAAAAATCACAAAATGATAAAATATTGGGGAAAGTGAAAAAATAATCTCCATAGTTGATGTAAGAAAAAAGATGCTGGATATATTAACAACATCATTAGGTGCAAGTCTGCAGCAAATTACATTAGAACTCAGTGCATAAAGAAGATTTTGCATTATATATAGTGAATGACGAAATTATTTGTACATCCATCAACTTTGAATATTTTTATCAATTTCTCAGAATCTGTTGTTTGTATGATCCAGGTTTTTTTTTATATGTTAATAAGCACAAAAAAAAAAAAAAAGAATATAAAACTCAATTTTCAGAACAATAGGTTAAATACAACAGATTTGACATGTGAATTATTCAAAATAGGAAAAGACAAAATTATTTGTATAGTAGAAGATATTGTTTTAAATTGATTGATTCGTGCAAGTATAAGTAATTTACATAATTATTTTATCGGTAAAGCCTCCTAGACTATTTATTCAGTAGAATATTTGTGATAATTCCTGCAAAGAACATCACGTGGTGCATAGAGTGTTGCTATTGTTATTCTTACAATAACAACATGATGAGGAAAACCGTCACCTATAAATTTGGGAGTTCTTCTCTTATCAGAATGTTCATTGAATTTTCTGAACTGCTGTACCTTCGTAATCACCATTAGACTCATCCAACTCTTTCTGATTCCACTGTACTGTCCTCACATTGCCATCCAAATACTCTGAAATGTTCATATTGGACATTTTACCTTGTTTTGGTGTCAGGAATCGATTCCAGTTGGAGGATGCATTTTTTTCTATGAAAATTTCTTGGGTGTTCAGGCCAGTAAATACAATTGTTAATACAATTTAATATAAACAGAGCATTTACTTAAATATTTGTGTCTATATAAATAATGTATAACAACAACAAATATATATATATATATATATATATATATATAGTAAATGATGAAATTATTTGTACACCCATCAACTTTGAATATTTTTATCAATTTCTCAGAATCTATTGCTTGCTTGTATGATGCCAGGTTTTTTTTATATGTTAATAATCACAAAAAAGGAATATAAAACTCAATTTTCAGAATAATAGCTTAAATACAAAAAATTTGACAGGTCAATTATGCAAAATAGGAATAGACAAAATCATTCATACAGTATGAAAAATAGAAAAAATTGAGCAATTTTCACAATATTAATAGTCAATAGCATGGCCTCGCATCTTTATAACTTGCTGAAATCATTTTCTAAAGCTTTTGAGGAGATTTGAACAAGTCTTTTTGAGGATTTTCTTCCATTCTTCAATGGTTATACATTCTAATTCTTGAAGGTTTTTTGGTGACCAACAGTTTATGCAAATTTTCAATTCTTGCCATAGATTTTCAATAGGATTCAAGTCAGGACTCATTGAAGGCCATGGCAGAACTGTAATCTTTTTCTGAAGCCATTGATTTAGACATATGCTTGGGATCATTATCTTGCTAGAAAGATAATTGCTGACAAAGATTTTGTGCTGATAGTTGTAGATTTTCATCCAGAATTTCGATATAGCCTGCAGATTTCATTATTCCTCTTATTGCAATTGTCCAGTCTCCCTTGAGCTAAAACAACCCCCAAAACAAAATCAAGCCACTTCAATGTTTTAATGTTGCCACTGTGTTCTTTGGGAGGAAAGCATCACCTTTCTTGTGCCAAATCTTCTATCATTATATTCATAAAGCTGAATTTTTGCTTCATCACTCCATAGTACTTGTTCCCAAAAGCAGTTTTCTTTGTACAAGAATGTTTTGGCAAAATTAAACTGAGCAACAATACATGGTTTAGTGACATGGTTTGTAAGAGGGGTTTGTCATGGTCAGTTTCCATACAACCAATTTCTATATAAACAACATTGTATTGTGTGAGTACTTACACAGATACCCAATCAGTATCAAAACTTTTGATGATGTCTTTCAAAACAACTCTTGGGTTTATATTAACCTCATGACAGTTTTCATGCAGTCCTTGGTGACAATTGGGCTTTTCTTCCACGCCCAGGCAACTTCTCTGTCATGCCAAACTGTTTAAACTTCTTTATAACGGACTGTGTCGCAGATCTAGGGATAGCTAACCGGTTTAAAATAGTGCTGTAGCTAATTCCCCGATTTGTAGAAGTTAATAATACTCTCTTTCAGGCTCCTTTGTCTTCCCCATTGTGTTGTTAATGTAAGAATAACAATGGTGACACATGATGCACCACTTGAGGTTCTTACTATTTCTGATAATACAGAAATTAAGGCTGATAAGCAGGGACTGGGGGAAATGGTGAGAGGGGCTAGTCTTTATTAGTTTATTTCATTAATAAACTGTCCTTCATTATGTTTCTTTTATTCAAGGATTGTTTTGGTTTGCATATCATAAATAGTTCTGTTTAGGAATATCGTCTAATATAGTGCAGAAAAGTGCTGTAAATTTTCATTTTACTTGGCCTTCAACAAATTGGCATCTATTTGTAAAGCTTTCCTTAACTATAAAAAGCCAATTTATGAATGAAATGTTCATTTAAAATTTTTGTTTAAAAAATTTCAAGTAGTGAATATATCTTACTTTGTGAAGCAATAGCAAACGGGCGAAGCCTGCTAATATATATATATTCACATATCTACACAGAATATGTTGCTAAAACCTAAGCAAAAAGATCGATTATCAGAATCCAGTGACTTTCCAACACTTGTGTCTTAATAGCGGAAGCATGTGTTTGATAATCAGGGGTGATAGGGTGTATGTAAATATGTCTGTCTGATGATTCCTTGAGGTGGGGAAACTTTCACCATATGAAGGACAAGAAAAAAAATATATAAATAATGAAGATATATAAAAGTGTATACCTACTTTAAATTTATTGAGAAGAGACATAAACTTTGTGAGATTGCATTCAACCAGATCCCCAAAGGAGATAAGCAGGCATTCAAGAACTTCACACTGAAATAAAAGAAAAAGACAAAAAAATAAAAATACAATCAAATAAGATAAACAACAGGATTGATTATTTACACTATTTACATGGCCCAGTGAATAAAAGTGTTGGTTGAAGTAATCTAGTGACTTGATACAAAAGAGTTGTGAGTTCAATACCTGGCCAAAGCAGAGGTGAACAAAGACTTGGAGAGTTGACTTACTAAGGGGAAATAACTGTAACTGTAACTGAGATATCCGGAAGAGGCATGGCTCATGAAACTAGAACAATCTACCTCCAATAAAGGCTTCAGTTTCAAATTCCAATGTATATAACATGAAGAAGACCAGAGCATACAATGGCTGAAATTTTGTGAATATGACAATAGAAATGAGGACAATAGTCAGAACAATGTAAATAGTTACAATATCTCATATCAGAAATGTATATGTGTGTGTGTGTGTATATATGTACAAATAAAAGACAAAAAGAAAATATAAAAGAATTTAAATGCTAATTTGTATTAAAAAGGATAAAATCTATCATGAGAGCATTGTTCTAGTTCCATGCCTCTACTGGATATCTCAGTTTTCAGTTATTTCCCTTTAGTAACTCAACTCTCCAAGTTTTTTGTTCACCTCTGCTGTGGCCAGGTATTGAACTCAAAATTCTTTGGGGTGAAATTAAAGGTTTGGTTTGAAATTCCAACATATATCACCTGAATAAGGCCAGAGCGAACAACGGCTGAAACATTGTGAATATAACAATAAAGACAAAGACAATAGTCTGAATGATATGAATAGTTACAATATCTCATCTCAGAAATATAGACAAATCTTGAAGAGGGCTGGAATGTACAACAGCCGAAACATTGTGAATATGGTAATAAAGATGTGGACAACAGTCTGAATGATGTAAATAATACTTTATCTCAGAAATATAGACAGATTCCAAAGAAGGCTGGAACATACAATGGCTGAAATGTTGTGAATATGGCAATAAAGATGAAGACAATAGTCTGAATATTGTAAATAGTTACAATGTCTCATATCTCAGAAATACAGATGCACAACAGATTTGATTTTTGTGAAAAATATTCATTTAACACCTATCCAGGGTGTCCATAAAACCCATGTGGAATTTAAAATACTTGTAGTTTGTAATTATACATGGTAGAAATGATCTGAAAAGAAGATAAGAAAAAAGTATTTAGATTTATTATTGGGATTGTTAATTTTCAACATGTCTACCATCATTATGCATACAAAGGGTAATACAATTCTGTAGTTCTTGGAAAGCATTTTGCAACCAAATTTCAGTAATACCTTCAAATCGCATCAATTCTCCTAACTTGCAGTTGCTCTAAAGATTGAAGTTTAGTGGAATAAACATTATTTTTCCCATTTCTCCAATAAAAAGAAATGCAATGGAATCAAACAGCAATTTTGCAAAAAAAAAAAAAAAAAAAAAAGTTATTTATTTTGAAGTTTCAAGAAATTGAGAAAAAATAACAGGTAAAACAAATAATAAATTTTCTGAAGACACCCCCCACAAAAAAAACTGACACATCAAGCTTTCTAATTCTTTTTACAGATTGTTTCTATCATGTATAATTACAAAGCTACAAGTAATTTAAATTGCACATAGACTTTATGGATACCCTGTACTTTAGATATAATGAGGGTTCTATGCAAGAAAGAATATTCCAGGTTTTTATTCCCCATTATAGGCATTAATATATCCGCAATATAGTAACACTACAGTTGGAACAGATTAGCTGAAAGAAAAGAATGACAATTATGCAGGCTTCCGAAAGAGATTTTTCATACTGAGATGTCATTAATTTGTCCCCACAGAGAAACTATATATATATATATATATATATATATATATATATATAAAAAATAAAACAAGCAGTATGAAAGGGGAAAAAGAAAGGGATTTACTTGTAATATTTCCCAATTGGAAAAAGGACAGGGACCTTTTATGTTTTGGTGAGAACGTGGGTTCCTCTGTTCATCCTACTGAAGTGCACTTGTGACATCTGTTTTCTTTGCAGCCTATGTAGCAACTGGGGGGGGGCATGTCTTCACTCAGAGCATGATGAATAGCCACTGACCTTTGACACTATCTACTGACATCAATGACTGGCCATCACATGACTTTATTTAAAAAAAGGGGAGATAATTACCCTTTGCATCCCTCCACCAAAGTGGTTTATTGTTTTTTGAAATTTCAAATCAAGCATTTGATGGGATAAAAGACACAGGCATATTTGGCAACCCCATAATTTCAGCAAGGTGTAAGTTAAGTCAAATGCAGGATACGCACTTGAGCGATCATGCCTCTTTCAATTCATGACTGACTAGGTAGAAGATTTCCTGTAGTAGTTTGCTGCTCCTTTCTGTTGGCAACCAAGGACAAAGTCTACCCTGTTGTTCAACCCATAGCTAGAGGGAGAAGAGACAGATTCATACCATTCCCAAGGGTATTTGCGCATCAGTGAATGTCACGAACGCAACTGGAATTTGAACTCGGCTCTCCGATTTCTCCCTCTGAGCCACTATCCATTATACCACCCGCACATCCTTCAGCATGGTATATCAAAGCAAAAACATTTTTATTGTATTTAAGCATGTAATATCCAGAGCAGTGGCTCCCAAACAATGTGGCATGCCTCATACATGCAGCAGAAGATGATAGCAGGTGAGGTGGAATGATTGAAAGACAATCAAAGATTTACAAACAGTTATCAAAAAATTCATCTGCCAAAAATAGATATGATTTCAAAATTTAAAATATTATTATGGATTATATGTAATTGCATGCATGAGTCCAAGTATGAATAGTTATAAATAATTATTGACCGATTTTATCATTGGGATAGTTTTGCATTATATCAAGTATTAAGAATATAGTAACTAGGCTCAGCAAATTGGAGGAGAGAGTTATCAATGTTAATGTTGTGACTTTGAATACACAGTTATCTCCCTTTAACCTTCTCTCTATTTTTTATTTTTAAATGCACTTTTTTCACATAAAATTTGGTGAGGCACAAGCAAATTTTCATTCCGAAAATGCAGTCAAGAGAAAAAAGTTTGGGAACCACTGGTCTAGAGCAAGTACAAAACTTTACAGAAGTACTTTACCAATGGCAGAAAATATTCTTCCAAAACTTCCTCCCCCTTTTTAACCCTGACCAATGTCCTCCTTCCTCTCCCTCCCAGTCCTTGTTCTGCCATCTATTTACACAAACACATAAGGCAGGTTAATCAATATTTCCATCTGAACTTCTTGCCTTCACTATGACCTGTGAGTATCAAATTCTCCAAGCCAACATTCTTCAGGATATGTCCTTGAAATTTCAACTATTTCTTGTTCTCAGTACTGTATTTTAAACATAATTCAGCAATAAAAAGAACAAAAAAATAAAGAAAAAAGAAGGAATCAATGTAAAACACACCCCTCCCTTCTGTAGTCATTCTATTCTTGCCATTTCTTTGCAGCCTTAATATAATGATTTGAAAGTTAGTGTTTTACCATTAGGGATAGAAAATGAATTCAGTAAATATACAAAAATAGAAAGACAAGTATATGTCTTCTCACTGATCCTATTCGACCAATACAGTGAGGTGATTCTGATAGAATTAGAAATCTCAGCAGATTCATTATAGAAGCCATAATCTCATTAACATAAGATATGCAGATTACAGTGTTGATAGCAAACACAGAAAAGAAAACTACAAAACCTCCCACAGAAGGTAGTGAAGGAAAGCCAGAAGAAATGACTAAACATTGATTACAAGAAGAAGTATTAAGAAACAGGAAAATTTCATGAGAAATAAAGAAAAAATATTACTGAATTGTTACATATCAGTTTTTCTACATGGCACTGAATGCGAAACAATCTCATTGCAGATGAAGAAAAAACTTAAAACAACAGAACTGTGGTTCTACAGAAGGATGCTGAGAATTCCATGGACTGAATATGTGAGCAACAATAAAGTTTTAGAGAAAAGTGAAACAAAAAGGACACATACTTAACATTAGAAAGAGATAGTAGAAATTTCTAGAGCACATAATGAGAAAAGAAGGCTTGGAAAATTTGATACTCACAGGACATACTGAAGGCAAGAGAGACAGAGGAAAACAGTGCATGGCTTACCTAATGGGCTTGTGTAAATGGCTGGCAGAACAGGGAATATGACAGATAGTGAAAACAAACTTTACTAAGAGCTACAAAGGACAGGAAATTGGGGAGAGGCATGATTGTCCATGTCCTGAGGGACATGGCACATAGAAGAAGAATGTTTATTTCTTATGTAGTTTCCCCCTGGTTAACGAGCAAGGAGTGTATTGCAGCAGATTTACATGTGATGGATCCGCTGCTGCCAACAAATGTTGTTGGTATTTTGTTACAATAATTAATTTTACAATATCGGTAATATAATAATGTTGTTTGAGTGAATAATAGTATTAAAAGTGACCATCCAAGGTAACATTATAGCCTACTGTAGTGAGTGTCAAGGAAAAACATTAACTTAAAAGAGGATTTAACCTTGTATATAAGATGTAACAAGATTTTGTTTAGTTATTTTCTTAGGATAAATCATGTCTTCTATGTCACCAAACATAGAATTCCTTAACACAGGCTGACCTTTGGTGAAAAAAAAAGTCTACTTCAATTCTATACTTCTAACATCTATGCCTAAAACTCTGAACTTTTATTTACTATTAATTTACATTATTTTTCCTCAATAGGAGTAGATAGGTTTGCCTGTTGTCCAGTTCACACTCCTCCCTGGTCTTTTGAAAAAGAGATATTTATCTCTTTTTTCCTGTTTAGGACTGGGTTTTTGGCTCCTTCTAAAGCCTACTTCAACTCTATACTTCTAATGTCCCTGTCTAAAACTCTGGTTCATTTTAAAATCTTTTCCTTCTCTTTCCCTTATGTCTTGGTGGTGTTATCACCTTGTTAGGTGTGGTATCTCTCACTCTGTAACCCTCTACTTTGAGTGGCTCTTGA